GAGGTGTGCTGCAGACACTGCACCCATGAACCCCTCCACCGAGGTGTGCTGCAGACACCGCACCCATGAACCCCTCCACCGAGGTGTGCTGCAGACACCGCACCCATGACTCCCTCCACCGAGGTGTGCTGCAGGCACTGCACCCATGACCCCCTCCACCGAGGTGTGCTGCAGACACCGCACCCATGAACCCCTCCACTCCTCCCAGCATTACCATCTGAGAAGAACACTGCTGAAGCTCTCATTTACCTGGGTGGAAACTGAGGCCCAGAGAAGTGACATATCTTAGCTAAGACTAAAACAGCAGTAAGAGGCTGGTCAGATGGCTCAGCAGATAGGGACGCCTGCCCCTAAGCCAGACTGCCTGAGTCTGACTGCAGAACCATGGTGGAAGAAAAGAACCGACTCCCACATTGTCCTGACTTCCACATGCATGCTGTGACAAGTACAAATCGTCCCTACACAACTACCCACACACAAAAATTAATAAGAAGTTTACTTCAAGATACAAATCCTGCCATGGCAGTGAACACCATGCCAGCACTTGGGAGCCAGAGGCAGGCAGATCTTTGTGAGTTCAAGCTTGGCCTGATCTACACAGTGAGTTATCAGACAGTGAACGCTATGTAGACAGACCCTGTCTCAAAAAAACTAATAAATATTAAAAAAAACCTCAGTAAATTCAGTTAAATGTGGAACCACTCAAGTCCTACTCCAGAATCAAAGTTCTAAACAACCACAAGCATTTGGGGGCAACAGAATTGGCTCAGTGGTTAAAAATACTCATTGCTTTTGGAGAGGACCTTGTTTTGATTGTCAATACCCACATCGTGGCTCACAAGTACCTGTAAACCTAGGAGATCCAACAAACATCTTCTGACCTCTGTGAGCACCAGAAATATATGTGGTATACATACATACATGCAGGCAAAACAGTCATAAGGATTAAATTAAATAAATCTTTAAAAAATTAAAAACAGTTTATTTTTACGTACAAGGAAATAAAATACATACTGGACGAAACTGAATAGCTATTATCTTAAAGTAAAAATATTTACTATCCATTTCTGTCAGGTGCACAAGGCACACAAGACTAGGATAAAGCAGCAGTCCAATAAACCAGCCCTGCAGCTCTGTTTTCTTATGAAGTGCCCCTCCTCCTTAGGGAGCAGGCCCACCTGTTCGGAATGTAGGCTCTACTACAAATCCATCCACCGAGCAGAATGTGAGCTGCTTCTAAGAACTGAGTGTGGAAAAGCAAGCACTAAGAGTAAATGTGCTAACCTACTAACTGCCTGACTCATTCATACAAGTACTGGGGTTCACAAACCCTCTCTCCTGGTCGGTGTGGCCCTTGGCCCTCATCAAAGAAGCTTTTCTCTGCAGCAGGTGGGAAGCATCACAGGAAATCACAAATGCCAAAGTACGGACAACAACTGATGGTGGGGTGCCTATCCCTAAGGGACACAATTACACCCAAGACTCAGGAACATGCTGAAGAGAGGGTGGAAAGATTAAGAGCCACAAGACCAGAGAGTCTGCTGTGACACTGCGTCTCCTAGAAATGAGAGGGACGCCACACTCATGATACTGTAACAATATGGCTGCCTAAACAAGACCCAGACAATGGCGACACTAAGAGACTTGCTAAAGTGGAAGACATAATCTCCAGGGCCCCACCCCAGACAAGGAACTACAGGCAACTAACAACTACTGAGGAGGGGAAAATTAGTCTGCCCCAGGGATGAGACCCCAAGTGGCTATCCAATATAAAACGATCAGCCCTAAAATCACATACAGAAGCAACACTAAACAGAACTCAACAGGTTGGGGGGGGGGGGACAATAACAATCGAAGAAATTAGAGAGAGAGTAGGAGGACGGTATCAGAGAGGTCAAGAGGGAAAGGACAGGGAAGGGTTGGAGGAAGAAAAGGAAAGGGGAAAATGATATATTATATCCTAATCAAAAATTTAAAAATTATCAAGAAGAAAAAAGGAATGACTTTGCACCATATTCCAAGCTCCATGTTGGGCACTAGGTTTCCTCCGGTCTCTAGATACAGACTGCTCTGGCCCCATACAATTGATAGTCCTACCAGAGACTCAAGTGTGGCAGAATGCTGTGACACAGCAAAACAAAGATGACATGACATTCACGGGCCTTGGGGGGACACACTATTTCAACCAACGGCTGAAAGATGATTAAGAATGCAACCCTAAGAATCAAGGGTTGGGCAGGAGCTGGAGAGAGGGCTCAGCAGTTAACAGCGGGCACTGCCTTTGCAGAGGGCCTGACTGGTTGTCAGACTCCACACAAGGAGCTCACATACACCTGAACTCCAGCTCCAAGCATCCCCCTCCCTCTACAGGCCTGCATCCCTGTGCACAGACCCACACACAGATCATACATGGGTGCATAACTTAAACTAGAAAATAAAATCTAAAAAAATAACAGGCTTACGAGAGAGTAACCTGAGCTCAAAGAATAGAAATACTTAGAAAACAAGGATCATATTGAAGAACTGCCAAGATAAGTTGAAAATAAGATACTGATAACAATAACCTTCCAGATATGTCTGATCCATGGCCTACAGGCTGCAGACACCCCAGAGTAGTAGCTATCAATCAGACCCAACACAATAATGTAATGGGTAGATGTCAAGATCAAGATAAAGGTTGGACACACCTGAAAGCTACACAGGAATTACCCCTAAGGTCACTGAACACAGGGCACACACACATCCTAGAGGGGCAATTCTAAAGAAGCAGAAACTGTGCCACAACAGGATGGTGGCAGGGGACAGGGAGCAAAGTAGGTGGATCTGACATACAGGCAGAAGGCAGGGTCCTCAAGAAGTAGAAGCTGAGGAACTCTGAGTCAAAGCAATGACCAGGACTACGGCTCCACAATGCAGGGGACACCAGTGCCCTCTGGGAGACAGAGCCACAGGAGGCTGAAAGGCCTGAGGAGAGAGATAATAGCTTCTGCCCGAGGCAGGTTAAGTTTGATGTGTCCATCTAGGGCATGTAAATATACAGCTATCCAACAGGCAGCTGGACACACAAGTCTGATACTCTGGCAGGAGGCAAAGTCATAAGTATTGTGACTAAGGAAGAATCATGCAGGAAGAACCAGCCCCCGGCCAGGGAGAGAGTAGGATGCAGGAAAGGAGCCCACCTCAAGAGGGCGCTCATGAGAGCAATGTAAACTGGCTTGTTAGAACAGCATCCCAACCACCTCCACCTCATCCTACCACCCCAATATAACCCTCCAAAATGATAAACTGATTATTCTGAATAAAAATTCTCAGATACCATTCCAAGAATCCAAACTGTGATGGTTATTCTGTTTTCCATTTTTACACTGTACTGCAGATTGACTTTCATGTTTCCTGAATGCTGGGCAAGTGCTCTACCACTAAACTACAGCCCTACACCCCTACAATGCTTTTTTCACTTTGAGACAGTCTCACTAAGTTGCCTAGATAGCTTTGGACTCAGATAATAGCTCAATCAGGCCTTGAACTTGTGATCTCTAAACCTTACACTTGCTTCTTCATAGTCCTCACTACTGCCCTAGCCTCGAGCGTACCTAGGATTGTGGGCCTGCACCATCAGACCCAGCTAATGGTTTATCTTCACACTGTCTATGAATTAAGAGTTGCGTGAACATGGTTTGTGACTGACTGACCATCTACTTCCACAGTCAATTATCTCACATTTGAAAGTGCCACGTCACTCACTGAATGTCCTCCACACACCAACAGCCACAGTATGAGCAACGACCCGCCACGAGGGCTCCACTACTGAACAAAGGCATTTAGAACACAATATGTTTTTATTAAAAGAAAAAAGTGTGCCACACAGGGGAGCACTGAGGAGGGCATCCTCCTCCCCCAGCCACAGGTGGAAGGTCTATCTATGAAAGTGACATCTGAGCACCGCCTTGAAGGTCAGTTATTCACGGACTGAGCCAGGGGAGAGAAAAGGCTAGCAAAGGGCAAGCACGCGTGGAAGAAGTACATGAGAAGCAGTGGACATGCAGACATCAGCTGTTGCCTGGGGATAAAGCATGGGCGAGGAAGAGTGAAAGTGACTGACAGAGGAGCAGGGTCCAGGTCACAGAGAACACTGGATAGCACGCTAAGAGAGAGAAGCTCTGTCTGAAGCCGAAGGCAACCGAGCGTGGGAGGAGGCAGATTTCACTTGAGAGCAGCAGCTCTGGGAGCCACGGTGGAAGAAGAAAGCACCAGACCCTGAAAATGTCCCAACAGACACGTGGTGACAGGTACACACCTGCACTCACACACATGAGGAAAGAAATAAATAAAATAAAAAACTCTAACATGATATCCAAAAGAAATGATTAGAAAAAGAAGAATCAGAAACAATGAGATTTATAAATCACCACGAACAGCACTTGCTCAGGCTGCAGAACATCCTAAAAGAATAATCAAACTGCATTAGACCCTGATTTTACAACAGATTTCAGAACAGTCATAACCCAAAAGTAGCTAGACTTCACTTTGAAATGTATAAATTCCTCCTTACAGGCAGCCGGCCTCACTCTGTCCTGCTTAGGGTAAAAATCACATTCGTTTTCTTGAAGTCCCTTCACAACCTGACATCACCACTCCACTGAGAACCACTCCTTAAAAAACAGAAAGAACAGTCCATGAAAACGACTAAAGGAAATGAGCCTCTGGGGCCAGTGAGACGGCCCAGTGGGCAGAGGCACCTGTCAAGCCTGGCGACCTGAGTTCAGTGCCTGGAAACCCACATGGTGGGACATGCAAGTCCTGCAAGTTGTTCTATGATCTCTACATGTGTTATGACGTGTACGTACACACACACACACACACACACACACACACAAACACACAAACACACAACTCACACACTTCTCTCTCTCTCTTAAATATAGTTTAAATTTTTTTTTAAAGAAAATAAGCTTCCAGATAACGCTGCACAGGAAATGGAGGAAAACAGGGCCTGCTTAGACTATCCTGCTGCCAACTATAAATCCCAATATCCTAATCCTCTCAGGTCACAGGCACACTCTTCTAGGCAGTTCTTCTAATTAAGCTCCCTCCCACGTGAAATTTCAGCCTTGGAAAGCTCATTCTGTTTTCATACTGGCTGAGAAATTTGCTGACAATGAAATTTCTACTTTAAATATTCAGCAGGATTCTAAATGGGTTTCTTCAAATTACTCTTCAGTGGACCTTTAAAACCACCATTGAAGAGATAAAAGTAATTAGAAATGGCAGTCTAAATGGAGCTGAGTCTCTCAGATGTCCTCCACAGTATACCACCACCCTCTCTCTCCCAGCTTCCCTTTGGATGCTCAACAGTTCAGCCACTCATCACCACACATCACTCATTCCATTTGCACATCACAAGATTCACTTCTGCCATTCCAATTAGTATCCCACTGGGTCACAGGAGAGAGAACGTTAATCACAAGAGCATTGGCAGTTAAAGTGGAATAGTGTACATAAAGCGGAAATACAGAGTGATAAACGGAGCCTCTTTTCAAGTTTTACCCAACCCACTTAGTAGTAGTGTGACCTTGGGCAAGTCCCTTCACCTCTTCCTCCTTGTGAAAACGAAATGAAATAACCCTGATAAGCCGAAAACATTGTTCAAATATATTGGGAAGCAGTGATTATAGTTATATGGGTAACAGTTTTGAAATCACTGGCCCAGGGCCTGGGAAAAATAATAAATGAGAGCTACATCAATATATAAATTACACTCATTCTCCACATACCCTCGAAGAGGTATTCAGATGCCCAGTGGAAGTGCGGAAAAAAGTGCTGCTATCTTGGCCAGTAAGAGACAGCACATCCCTGCTTTGGTAAGTTACTTCTGCAGATATAGTTCTGATTACAGCAAAGGTTGCAACAGATGCAAGTGGAACATACAGCACAACTAAGATTAGGTTCTAATGATGCTCTACCAGAGAGCAACCATCTATTCACTGCAGATAAATGTTCTAGGAGGATCCCAGACTAGCAAGAAATATAGCACGTGTAGACCTGGACTCTTATGGAAATCAAGACGTATTCATTTACATGCACAAATAACCATGACACAAATTCTACTGAAAGAAGTACAAACAAATACTCTCCGACTTTGATGTTTTGAAGTCTGGTGAGGAAACTGCTAAAGAGTATTAAGAGTTCTCCACTGCTGGTGTAAACTAAGTAGCAAGTTTACAAAGGCACCCAAGTACAGCCATCACAGGTTAGGGGAATGTGAATGAGGGTTAGTGCCTTCACTAACTCCAGGATCTAAAGCGCCTATGTCTAGGACACTGAGGAGCTGAGAGATGGCTCACTCAGGAGAGTGCTTGCTATGCAAACACAAGGACCCAGGTTCGGGTCCCCAGCACCCTCCCAGCACTACAGTCCAATGCAGGGAAGACAGAGGTAGGTGGATTCTTGGAGCTCACTGGCCAGGCCTGATGAGCCAGCCTAGCTGAATGGGTAAGCTCTATATTCAGCGAGAGACCTTGTCTCTGGAAATAAAGCAGAGTGATTGAAGAAGTCAAGGTTTGGCCTCTATGTACACATGTATGCACAACTACACAAACACATGTATATACTCAAAGATTCTGAAAAAAAATTAAGGAAGTGTTAAATAGCTATTAAACTGCCACAAAAGTTAATAATACTCACAGATAATGATCCGGGTCAAATTTGGCCAGCTCAGCAGCCAGGCGTTTCTGCCTTCGTTCAGTCAGAGGAGTGAAATCTGGATCCTTAATATCAATAACCTCACTCAGTTCATCCTAAAAACACCAGAACAAGAATGAACATTATCTCCAATCTTTAGCAATTAAAAATCAAATGGGGGGAGGGGGTTTGGAGAGATGGCTCAGTGGTTAAGAGCAGTGGCTGTTCTTCTAAAGGACCCAGGTTCAATTCCCAGCACCCACATAGCACCTCACAACTGTCTATCTCCAGTTCCAAGGAATCTGGTACCCTTACACTGATACACATACAGGCAAAACACCAATACACATAAAAATAAATAAAATAAGCTGGGCATGGTGGAGCACACCTGTAATTCTAGCACTTGGGAGGTAGAGGCAAGTGGATCTCTATGAGTTCAAGGCCAGCTGGTTTACAAAGAGAGTTCTAGAACAGCCAGGGCTATTACAGAGAAACTCTGCTTCACAAAACCAAGTGTGTGTGTGTGTGTGTATATATATATATATATATATATATATATATATATATATATATATATATATATATATATATATATAAAACCAAATTGGGGGAAGGGAGGAGGAACACCAAAACATGGAGAAATCTGCCTGATCACTAGAGTATGAAACAGCTTGTAATATTTAAATTCAGATCTAAAAAACAGGTATGGTGCAAGCCTTTGCTCTCAGCACTTGGGAGACAGAGGTGGGCAGATCTCTCTGAGTTCAAGGCCAGTCCGGTCTACATAGCCAAGTCCCACCAGCCAGAGCTATACAATGAGACCTTGTCTCAAAATACAAAAAGCAAAATCAGACAAACAAACAAAAAGCTATAATTGTTTGAATCTACTATTCTATAGACTCTGCCAGAAACTTCCATATAAATCAACCCATTTTAATCCGTAAAAGAAACTAACCAGCATATATCAAGGCCATTAACATTTAACACAAAGGATCATGGGGCTTACCACCTAGCCTGATCACCTCATCCCTATAACCTATAAAGTAGAAGGGGAGAAAACTCCAAGAAGTTGTCATCATGACTCCATACACATCCTGTAGCATACAGCTCCCACCATACTGTGGCAGGTGCATGTGTGCACATGTGTGCGTGTGCTCATACACACACACACACACATATATTTATTTATTTATTTATTTAAAATGTTTAACACAAAAAGCAGAATTGAATAAACCCTTACAAACATACAGGAACATCTAATTCTCCATTCATTTTCCTTTTTAGCTCCGGAGATCTGAAAGTTCCTGAAGACAGGAAGGTCTGAGTATCCAACATCTACAGAGAGACGTGGCTTTTTTCCTACTGTCTAGCTCAAAGAACGAAATCCTATACAGTCTACTTTGTAAATACACTTGCTGTGCAAACTTGATGACCTGAGTTCAATTCCTGGAAGCTACACAGAGATAGATAAAGAAGACTGACTCCATGAAGCTTTCCTCTGACCTCCATTCCCACAGGCACACATTCATAAAAAAAAAAATTAATTAATTAATTAATGTTTACGAGTAATTCTGATGTGTTTGATTTTCCACTTGAAACTTTAAAAATCTAATCCTAAGAATCACCACCTATCTTAAGCAAGATGTGCATATATGAACATGTAGCATGTTTCCCAAGCAGAATTCTATGGAACAGACATACACAGGAATTGTGAAGTGAAAAAACCTCTTACAATCCAAAACATTCCCCCAACTGTGGCTTTCTTCTCTCTGCTCCCACATCTACTCTCAACTCCAGATGCAAGCACAGAACTGGAAGAAACAGGAAGGATGTAATCGGAAAGAAATCAGGCAGTAACCTGGAGAGCTGTGCACGCGAACTGTTCCGGAAGATTTGTAAGAGGAACACATACACAAAAAGAAAACAGAGTGACAAAGGAGAGTTGCTTTTGAAGTCAGTAGCCCTAGGATCTTGAGCAAGTCCCTTCACTTCTTATGTCATTAAAAAAAGAAAATGAAGTACTCATATGAGAGCACTTTAAAGCTGATGGTCAGAATGCAAGATTACTAAAGTAAGCTATACTAACTTATGGGGAGTCATAAGGACCCAGTCTCCCTACATAACCATAATTTCCAAAAAACCTCTTGGGCCCGAGAAATGGCTGAGTGGGTAATTTGACTGAGTTCAACCCCCCAAGCCCCTTACGGTGGAGGAGAGAACTGCCCCAAAAGCTCATCTCTGACCTCCGCCTGTAAACAATGGCATGTAAAAAGGCACACACATTCACACAAAATAAATAAGTATCTGAAGTTTAAAAGGAAAATAAACTCTTTCTTTCTTAGCATACGGCGTGGAGCTCTTAACCTAAGTACATTCAAATATAACGAAGGGATCCAGTGACCTTTTTGGAAGCCACTAGATCAACTAGAATATCTTAATACTTTCAAATACAAACATTTGAGGCAACAACCAGACCAATGGCTGTCCACAAACATAAAATTTACATTCCAAAGTTCCTTTGCAATTTACTTTTTGGAGACTTGGAATGCATTTTCCTACAGGAATCCTATTATAAATAGTAGTTAAGAGTCTCAGGGCAGTCCTCAAGTTTATGCAATTCATTATAAATTGAAACAGAACATTCATGATGCAAAGAACTTAACAAGCACGCAGCAGAGTTTCCATGGGAAAAACGTGCAGCCTCTGGAGTTGAATGCACCAGAACATCTCCTCCCCAGAAATACAGCATCGGTTCTTCCTCCTCCCCTCAATTTCCTCACTGGAATTCCTAACTCCAGCCTCAGGTCTACAGGGCACATGTGGACAAGGGCCTCGGGAGGGCAGGCAGTACAATGGATCCACAGGGCTTGCCTGGGTCGGATACTACTGTGGGCACCACTGCTTTCCCTTGGACTGCAAATCCACAGCATGATGCCATCCCTCCCTCAGCTCCTCTCATGCATCACATGGCCTTATCTCCTCCCTCTGTGAGTAGAGTCGGCCACATACAAAATCCTTGTTGGTATCGTCCTTAATCACAGTTGCAAAGTTCTTCTGCCTTGTAATGTAAAATCTTCACAGGACAGGTAGTCACAGGATACCTTTTTGTTCTTCTTGGGGAAAGGGGTGGCATTCGGAGCCACATGCTGTTGTATTAATATAATAGAGGCCTAAATACACTCACTAATGTCAGATTCACTTTTCTCTGTCTCCATTCCACGGCTGTTCCCTGTTACTCACTGACTTCCTACTGAAAACACAAATCCTCCTTCCAATTCAGGTTCCTTACTTGATAACAGCAATTAAAGTGGGGGGGGGGAGGGCAGAGGAACAATTAATTATTGCACCTGGACAGACTTAAGGTCACGAATGGGCTATGATCTGTGAGGACTGACAGAAAACGGTGTTTCAGCAGATAAATGGAATCCTGGAACCTCGACTCCTAGCTCTACATCATCAAGCCCATCTTGCCTTTCAAACCAATGCCAGCCTTTCCTAGAGCTACAGACTAGACTTCTTGTCATTTCTGGAGCATACACATCTGTCTCCACTCCAACCCTCTGCATCTACAGTGTCCTTCTCATCATAACCCCATGCATGTCCTATCCTTCAAGGGCCACCTCTGGGCATCCTAGTCACAACAGTTCCCTATCTCACATACCACAGTTTTTCTCCACCTGCTACTATCGCCATTAGCTTATTAGTTGTCTACACGATGACTATCTGTCTTCTCCATAGAATGTTTCAATGCGGGGAGGGGTCTAGTCTACTTTCGTTTTCACAGCATTCTCAGTGTGTAGTGTGACTAATTGTATGTCAGCTTAACACAATAGTTTTGGTTTGGTTTGGATGTTTTTGGGTTTTTTGTTTTTTTTTTTTTGTTGTTGTTGTTGTTTTGTTTTCAAGACAGGGTTTCTCTGTGTAGCCTTGGCTGTCCTGGAACTCACTCTGTAGATCTCGAACTCAGAGATCTGCCCGCCTCTGCTGCCTGAGTGCTGGGATTAAAGGTGTGCACCACTACCGCCCAGCTAACATAAACTATAGTTATCAGAAAAAATGGAGCCTCAGTTGAGAAAATGCCTCCATAAGATCAGGCTGTAGATAAGTCTGTGGGATATTTTCTTAGTCATTGATGGGGAAGGGCCTAGCTCTTTGTGGGTGGTGCCATCTCTAGGCTGGTGGTCCTGGATTCTATAAGAAAGCAGGATGAGAAGCCATGAGGAGCAAGCCAGTAAGCAGCACCCTACCCCTCCATGGCCTCTGCATCAGCTCCTGCTTCTAGGTTCCTACCCTATTTGAGTTTCTGTCTCAACTTGCTTCAACGATGGACTAAGATGTGGAAGTATAAGCCAAATAAACCCTTTCCTCCCCAACTTACCTTTGGTGATAGTGTTTCATCACAGCAATAGTCACCCTAACTAGAACAGTACACCTAGCAGTCAGAAAGAGATCACTACCGAGTACACAGTGCACAGAGGCTGTAGACTGGTCTGGTTGCTGGACTAGAGATCCAGTAATGAGCACACAGATCGTCCCCAACCTCACGGGCTGAACTGGAGAATAAGAGAGTAACACTTTCCAGTCCCACTGCTGCTCCCCTCTAGTACACTGATGCAAGGCCACCAAAGCAATGCAGTGGAGAGACCACACCACGTGACTACGCCCAGCTGGGCAAACCCCACCTGCATTGTTCTATGCACATACATAGCAGGGCCTCGTTCAAACTGGACCCTAATAAGAAACTAAAGCAGCTGGCTATGGTGGTGCACGCCTTTAATCCCAGCACTTGGGAGGCAGAGGCAGGTGGATGTCTGTGAGTTTGAGGCCAGCCTCATTTACAAAGCGAGTTTCAGAACAACCAGTGCTATACAAAGAAACCCTCTCAAAAAGAAAAAAAAAAGTAAGAAAGAAACTAAAGCAAACTAAAAAGCAGAGATAAATTTTTGAATGTGAAAGGTCCTTCACATGCTCTGCATAGTATTTGTTCCCATAGAGCAGCACACTTTGTTGGGGGCTGTACAACCTTTAGGAGGTGTGGCTTAGCTGGAAGAAGTAGGTCACTGGAGGCAAGTCCTTCCGGGTTATTATCCCCATCTACTTCCTGTCTTACTCGGCC